AAACAATCCCAATCCACCCTGTCATAAGCTTTTTCAAGATCAATATTGAAGACTAGACCTAGCCAACCGCTTTCTGGATAAAGGCATCAAGAATGTCAACAACCAAAGAGGAGAAGCAAAGAGAGGGGACAGCCTTGACACAAACCCCTAGTTAACTTAAAAAAAACCTTGGGGAGAGCCATTAATGAGCACTAAGAACCAAGCCCCCTGAGCACAACCCTTCATCCAACTAATCCATTTCTCACTAAAACCTTTTAACTCCAAAATATTCCATAAACACCCCAATCCACCCTGTCATAAGCTTTTTCAAGATCAATTTTGAAGACTAGACCCCCAAGATTGCTTTTCTTCCTTTCCTCAACCCATTCATTTGCAATTAGAATGCTATCCACTATTTATCTTCCTTGAATAAAGGCACTTCGCATAGGAGCCACAACTTCTCTAATCTATTGGCTAAAAGTTTTGCTACAATTTTATAGAAGCTTCCCATAAGACTGATATGCTGAAAATCTCACCCCTAACACACCTTTGTTTTTTGGAATCAATTTAATGAAGTTTGATTTGTTGCCCTTATTTAACTTAATCTAATAAAGTTTGACTTATTGCCCTTGTTTAACTTAGCTGATTTGAAAAAAATCATCAAAGGCTTTAAGAAGATCAACCTTGATAGTATCCCAACACTCCTGATATAAGGCCAAAGAGAACCCATCCAGGCCAGGGCCAGGGGCTTTATCCTCATCCAGAGAAAAAACAGCTTCTTTAATTTCACCCTCTCTAAAAGGACTTTCCAACCAACTCCTACTATTAGAAGGGAGGGCTGGGCCATCCCAAGTGACCACTAAAAGGACTTGCCTCCCTACTCCATCCTCTAATTAGATTTCCAGAGTCAGCCCTAGAGATTAGGACACTCAATACATCCACTACCAAAGTGAAAAGGAAGGGGGATAGTGGGTCTCCCTATCTGAGGCCTCTCTTAGCAAGGAAAAAATCCCTAGCTATACCTTTTACTAGAATGGAGTGGTGACAGGTAGAAACACAACCCTTGATCCATCTACACCATCTCTCTCCAAACCCTCGGTTTTTTAGAACTTCAAATAAGATATCCCAATCCACCAAATCATATGCCTTTCCAGGTCAAGTTTACAAATCAAGCCCTTCTCTCCTTTCCTTTCTCTGTACAACCCACACACTCATTAGTAAATAGGGTTTGATCAATGATTTGTCTCCCAGACACAAAGGCACCTTGGTTTGGAGAAATTACGGAGGGGAGTACTTTTTAAATTGTCACATCCAAAACCTTGGAGATGACCTTATACAAACTCTCAATTAAGCTTATGGGCCTAAAATCCTTAAGATGATTTGCATCCACCTTTTTGGGAATCAAAGTTATGAAAGAAGCATTTGCACCCAAATTGATCTTGCCCCTCTCAAAGAACTCCGAAAACACCTTCGCCATATCCCAACAGTCTTGGTAAAAGGCCATCGTGAAACCATATGGGCCCAAGGTTTTAGATCTTTCCATCAAGAACACAAAATCTTTCCTCAAGAGTTCTTTCTAACACATCCATCAACTCCCCACTCCTTGCTTTCCAATCAAAATCAAGAAGGTTCTCTCTCACTCTACTTGGGCTATCATAAATGGTTTTAAAATGCTCCACAAAAGTTTGCTATCTCTGCCTCCCTTGTAAGAAATTCTCCATTCCATTCCAGTCTTTCCACAAAATTCTTCCTCTTTCTTCCATTTTCCAAAATGGGAAGAATTACCAATCAAGCATAATTCTCTTCTTCTTTCTCCCCTTCTCTTCTTGTTTTCTGAGTTTTTCTTTCTTTTTCTAGGACAATCTTCTTGATGCAGATGATACTTTCTTTCTTTTTCTGAGGCTACCTTCTTAATGCAAATTGTACTTTGGTTCTTTTTTCCGGGACAATCTTCTTGATGCAGATTGTACTTCTTCTCATGAGTATGTCGATTTTCTATGTTTTTCATATGAAGTTTGTGCTTACTTGATGAAGATTACTGCTAATCGCTAGTAAAAAATGATTTCTTGTCACTGTGGAAATTAGGGAATTATCCTAGCCAAGTTGTAAAATAAAATACCTGGGTGGATGCCTAGGAGGCTAGGCACTCCCCCTATTGCCTAGCTTCATCTTGGCATATTGACAACTAAGCATATCACACATTGGAAATGGAAATATAAGGAAGTATTTATTACTTCTCTACATCTTGAGACATGTATATTCACATGCCATTCAGAAGCAAACATAAGGAGCTAGACATGGAAAGCTGAGAACCTAAAAAATGAAGGCACAGTTAGTGAGAGGAGAGACAGAGATATACATGTGTTTTGAGTTTTTTAAGAAACCAAATGCTAAAAGACAATAAGCATGGCCAATTGCATAACAAAACTACACAAAAGATGTCTCCATGCACAATCTTAGAACAAAATAAAGATAGAGATTTAGAGACATTCATGTTTGAAGAGCCTTGTGCTTGGAAATATGCCCAGGATAAGTGTCCCATTAATCACAAAAACAAGTGCAAATCTGTGTCTCTATACGTACAACTCAGGATATAAGTGTAACTACTACCTCAAATCATATATCAAATAACCCAACTGGCATGAACAGAAAAAAATGAACAAATTGGTTACCACTTTCACATGAAAAGAAGAAACTAACAAAGAGGAGCAATCCGAATTGTTATACCAACTACTTCCACTCATCTGCAACCATGTAAAGCCAACGCAACCAATTGAAAAGGGTGTCATTCAATAGAAACTCATCATCATCATCTAAGCCTTGTCCCAACTATATGGAATGGGCCACATGAATCCTGTTCTGTCACCATTTTGTTCAGCACCATATTCATTGTTAAATTATGGGCCCTTAAATCATTTCTCACTACTTAAGCCCATGTCCCTTATGATCTAGCCCTAGCTCTGTTGCAGAAAAACCCAAGAAAACAGATTCGAAATGGCACTCAAATGAAAATAAAACAGAGATAAAGAGAAAAAAAGCACAGAGAACACACAGATTTACGTGGTTCGGCTTATAGCCTACATCCACGGGCAAAGGAGGAACAGAAATCCACTATGAAGTAGGTAATGGAGAAGAAATACAGAGTTGTGCTCTCACAGAAAACCCTAAGCCCCAAATACACCCAATGTCTCACTCGTCTCTCACAAGACTCAAACCTCTGTATACAAGAGAGAAAAACCCCTGAAATACATGACTCTTCATATTCGGTTAAGACAGCCCAAGCCCTACGCATCCACCAAAAACCACTATGAAAATTTACCTTCGGGTTTTCTCAAATTAATTCGGAACGGATTCATGAAGTGAGTCGCCACAAAGAATTCAAGCACAAACATAACAACCTCTTATAGCCCCCTTCAACTTGTAACAGATCACTTCTTCTCACTTGTGCATAAGAGTTTGGCAAAATTTTTAATGCCAGCTGCCAGCCTAACACAATTCTCCTCCCTCTCAAGGCTTGGGACCAACAGTTTAAGGCAAACTCACAGTGGTAGAGTTTCATTCAGAACCCTTTTTTATAATTAACATCAAACATTTCATTTAAGAAAACACCATGTTGCTAATAGAAACGGCAGCAGGCCAATAAGTACAAATCAGGACTCCCAATAAGGGACCTTACAGCATAATATGAAAGGATACAGCAGTAATCACATAGCATCCATGTGCTCATTGTAGAATTAACAAATGCAGTCATGAATCCTGATGAGCTCCCTTCTGAATAATCTGACTGTTGAAACCAACCAGAACATTAGGGGTGCTCATGGTTCGGTTCAGTGGCCTATTTTCCAAACCGAACCAGTAGTACCAGTTTTTGGAAAACCAGTAAGTGAAACAGGACCGAAGCCGACCGGTTAACCACCAGTTTGGTTGGTCGGTTTTTCGGTTTTTTTTATTTTTATAATATAGATTATAATAAATATAAGTATATAATAAAAAATTAGAAATGCATATCAAATATTATGTTATACATAATGAATGATATATTATATATTATAAATATATAATGCATATATTCATTTATAATATATAGATAATATAAAACATATATATAATATACATAAATATAATATATATATATAAATATATGTATACCGGCTGGTTCGGTTAACCGCCAGTTTTTAATATTGGTTAACCAAAACCTAACCGGCACCTTCAGTTTCTTGAAAATACCAAACTGATCGGTTCAGTTAACCAGAATTTTCAGCTAGGTCTCGTTGGTTCGGTTGGTTTTTCTGTTTTTCATGATCACCCCTACAAAAATTGAAACCTGTCCATCCAAACTTTGAATATGATTCGTTATGAATGATTCATCAATCTCCTAAGCAAATAATATAAATCGGTGCCTCAAGCTAATTCAGGTTTCAGAATGGTTCCAGAATCCAAGTAGTATATCATTGGACTAAACGATGCAAAATAGTAGAAATTAGTCAATGATATAGACCTCGTATTCTCCAAGTTCTTAGAAAATCCAAAAATTTTCCATGCCTGGAAAACAAAAGAATTAAATAGATAGGGAATTTATGTGAATTAAATCAATATGTATCATGGCTGGAGCTATAAAACAACCTATGAATCATATTTCCCAACAGTGATTACTAGCTCAAAAAGACAACACCCATGTTTGAAATGTCTCTCTTCTAAGTTCTAAACGCAGAAGAACGAGCATCCCCCTCTGTTGGTACAGAGACAATTCACAAAATTATTACAGACCTCAAGTTGTTCATCAATTCCAACAATTCCAACCTGAAATGGAGGTACCAATGTTTGAAAGCAGTTTTCCAAGTGACAAACCACAAAAATCGACCTTCTGCTTCGGAGACGGGTATAAGAAACTACAATTTCCCACTTTGAGTGTCTCTATTTTCACAGAAAACCCTAACTTGCTGGATTTTCAGTTAACAAACCAGAAAAGGAGAATCCTTTTCCTATCAAACTTTAATTGAGAGAAGGGATGACGAGAATACCAGCATTGCCGCATCCGACCATGAGAACACGAGAAGACGTGGGGATATATTTCCGGACAAAGGGACGCAGAGCCGTGTAACGCTGGTACCAATCGAAGGATCCGGCCTCTTGCAGGTACCGGCTGTTCCAATACAAGGCGTCCCCATAGTTGTAAGTATTGCAAGCAGACACGTCCCTGTACATTCTGAATCTCTGCTGTCTGGCTTGCTCCCTTCTTTCTGCTTCAGTCTTCTTCCTTCTTCCCAACTATTTATTATGTGGAGTGCATCAACGAACAAGCACCAACAAAACCGAGTTTCTGTCCCGTTCATTCTATTTTAAGGCAAGTGGACGAGTTGGGACTTCAATCCGGACCCGTACATACCAAAAGAGGAAACTGGGAATAGTGCTCAACTAACTCAACAATCCATCTAAAGCTTCCAAAAATCCAAATTGATCTTCTGATCATTGATGAATGTACTACAATTATGGAACAATTCTATTTCTTTAGTCACAACTCACAACCCAGTACAGATCCGACTTGGTCCAGCAAATGGGTTCCAAAGTCCAAACTAGTCCATTTGGTATTATCATAGTTCAGGGTCACATCTGGCCTGATCGCTTGAAGGATTTATACACTTTACTGGTAGCCAGATTCAACTTGGGCTAACAAATCTGGATCCGTTTTGTTCTGGTATAGTTTCATTTAAATCATCCAAATTGGCTAGATGTAGATTGGCAACAGAAGAGTGGCGGTGCTGTACTGTATCAGGACCCTACCCGTTCCCAGATTTCAGACACTGTACTGTATCAGGGATGAGTTTATCTGAACACTGAACTCAATTCAGCTTGTCCCAAATTGTTGGTTCATCTAAATAATGCAAATTATAATTTTTTCCCCTACCAATTCACGAGGAAATCAAAATGGAAAGTTGGGCTTGACTCAGTCTGCCTACACTTGGCACAACCTTATAGGGTCAGTTTTCTTTCAGAGGCGAAGGCGTCAAGCTGTGATTTATGAGAAAACATCAATATGGGGACCCCATTGAAACAGTAGAAAGAGCAGTGATGCTAAGGGACCATTTGGTAACAGCTGAAGTGATTGAATTTAACGATTTATTGCTTTCTCTTTTAGTGGATAAAATAGCTAGTCATACTGTCAAATAATAAAATGTTTTGGGCATAGTGATTAGCCTAATTAATGGCTTGTTCACTAAAAGACAAAGCAATAAGATATTTAGCCATTATCAAATGGCCCAAAATTACTGGCACAACCGCACAAGAACTCTAGACAATTTCATCTTTTTAACATTGAGGCTTGGACCTTGGTGTCAACTGTTAAGAGGACGACTCCACTGACGATATACAGACGTGGGTTTGACGTAGGGGTGTCAATTATTGGACTGGATTTGGTCCAATCCGATCTAATCTAATGTGAGCCTATTATAAATGGATCAGGTCTAATTCAATCCATTGAATGTTTTGGACCCATTTGGATCGGTTCAATTCAATGTTTAGAACATCCAATTCGTTCGAATTCATTTTGATTTAGATTGGTTTCAACCCAATTTCAGTCCATTAATGCATACATTCTTACCATTATATATCAATGGACCAGATATTGGCTTAATCCAACCCAATCAAATATATATTTGTTACGGACGGATCAGATCTAATCCAATCTAATAAATATTTTGGATCGAATTGGTCCAATCCAATGTTTTATTGGTCCATCCAATCCGTTCAAATTGATTTTGGACTGAACGGGTCCAATCTAAAACCGTTCCATTGACACCCTTAGATTTGACTGTTAATTAGAGTTAGAAAATAATAGTGTTACTAGAGTTGATGTAGTTACACTATATCATTGCTTGTCTGGAATTTCCCTTTTCACCCATGATCCATTAACCACTTTACTGTGTAATTAACTTCATTGTACAACGGCATTTTGCAACAAAACTCTTGCAAATAAAAAAGGGTTCAAGCTAATGCAAGCTGATAAGAATCATTTATGCAATGGAAATTGATGGCTACATATATACCCACACTTGACCTTATCAAATGTATCGCTTTCAGGTCTTTATCAGGTTTTGATGCACCAACTTGGATGAACCGAGGTGGAAAGATGATGAGTGCACCAAGTAGAATCTACAATCAAAGTGGTCAAAGGTCCCAAGGAGAAGGTCTCTGGGGAAGGTACATCGACACTCAAATCAATAAGTCGTGGGTAAAGGTGAGTCGGGGCCAAGTTGGTCTAGACAGAGAGAAGAAGTAGGAGAACAAAAGGGCTGAAGAGCGGGAGATTCGAGATCTCATATGTTGAGGGGAGATGCCTTTATATAACCATGTGTTAGATCATCAGGCCCCCAAAAGAGGCCAAGGTATAATATCCAATTCAAATCATGGTTTTTAAAACCGAACCAGTCAAGGGTCCGGTTACCAATTCAAACGGTCCAACCGTTCGACCCGAATGGTCGGTTCGTTCTAACAAAAAAATTAAAAAAAACTAAAAATTTGAAAAACGGTCAAAACTGTTCAAACAATTCGAACGATTAACCGATCAGTTCAGCAGTTTTCTGACCAAAATCAACTATTTTGGAGAAAAATGAAACCAGTCACCTAACCGGTTATCAGTTTTTATGGTCTGACCGTCCGGTTTTGAAAACCATGATTCAAATACAATCTATTTGTAGCCCTAAAGTCACCTCCATAAGAAGGCCTCTTAGAAATGCTACCATGAGCACATCACATGCATTTGTCGACCCCCCTTTTTCTTTGCAGTTTTTGTTGGTTTCAAGGGGAATTTATGTTTTAAATTATATGCTATGAGTTAATCGTACTTTTTAATTTATGAAATATGGAGTTCCAAATTGATTAAGACAAAAAAAATATGGTCATGTCTGTGCTGTTATGGGCAACTTTCTCTTTTTATCTTTGATTATTTGGTTTTGGGTGATTGGTTTTGTAGTTTTTTATTCAATCCTTATATGCCCATAAAATTTGAAAGAAAATGGAAATGGTTTTGTACAGCCTTTTAAACAACTTTTGCATTAACTGGTTGGAGTAGTACGTTTTACCTTGTCATCTATACTTCTGTCCCTACAATTGTTGTTGGTATTTTGGATAAGGATCTAAGTCATAAGACACTACTCCAGTATCCAAAGCTTTATGGGGCAGGGCCTAGACAAGAAAGTTATAATCTGCACCTCTTTTGGATTACAATGATTGACACCCTGTGACAAAGCCTTGTTCTATTTTATATGCCCCTCTTCACTTACAACACCTCCCTTAATGTATTATTTTATATTTTATATATTGTTTATTGATATCTCATTTAATTTACATTCTCTAACAGGTTCAACCATTATGTTAAATGGATTTGCATTGAAATATGTGTTATATTATCCGAGAAATTGATTTTTTTTAAGTCCTTGAACTTTTATATGTCAATTAGATATTGTATTTAAACAATTTGTTTTGCTATTATAATAATTAATAATTCAATTAATAGATTTTGTTTTTAATTGCATTTTTATTTAAATTGTTTTTTATGTATCAATTGTCATGAAATTTGTACTAAACAAGTATTAAATTGAGATTTGTCATGGAATTAAGCTACTATAAAAAAAAATGCCAAAGCCAATGATCATACAACCGCTGGCTTAGCCATAAACAAGCTTTAAGGCGGTGGTAAAATAGGAGCTAAGCCGGCGGATCCGACCACCACCTAAGAGGACAAGTAGAGTTTTGATTGACCTAAGGCGGGGGTTAAATATGATCTAAGCCAGCGGTTCAAACCGCCACCTAAAAATGGAAGAAATGAATTGATAAACCTAAGGTGGCGGTCGAAACGGCCACCTTTATTAATGCTAAGCTGACGGTCCTGACATATTGCCGCTTTAAGTTCATTGAACTGCTTCAGACCGGTCCTCAAGGGTGGAGGCCTTTTCTGTCTAAGCCGACGGTCTTACCCTAGGCTGACAATGGCTTAGGGGGGCGGACTGATGACCGCTGCCATAGGTCTAAGGCAGCGGTCTTAATGCCTAAGTCGATGATCTTTCTGACTTGAATCCATCAGTTGGAATCAAAATTTGAGTGGTCTATTCCTATGATTTGTTTGTTTCAAACAAACAAACAAAAAACAAACAAAATGGAGATTGAAATAAATTGGAATCAGATTTCATTCCCAAGAAAGGGGGAAGGGAATGGCCATTCCCATAAATGGAAAAATGACATTCCATCAAAAATGAAAATAGGATTCCAATTCCAATTAACCAAACAATTTCCATATCACTCTCAATTACAGGCCCCTATTCCCACGAATGACATCACATCAAACTTCAATTTATGATGCATGTTCTGATGCCCTTTTGTTTTGAGTTCGAATCTATGCCCCATGGGCTAGCACCCCAAAAACATCCTGCACAATAGGGCCTCACCATGTGTTCTCCCACATGCATCCCCTTTTGAACTTGTAATACCAAAACTCAAATGTTTTCCCCCATTCCCAATCATTATCGGCCTACCCTATTCGTGTAACCTTGCCTACCTCCTCCATCCCCCGATGTTGACACCGCAACCATTTTGTCAACGATCGTTTTGCTGATGACCATCCTTCTCATCTTATTTGTTATTTCATGTTTGTACTTATTTCAATACAAATCACAGAAGGGAAGGATCACTGACAACCAAAATTGTACCCTCTTCTCTCCAGCGTTGGACAACTAATTCCAACGGTCACACTGTTGTTCGACGATCTCTAAGGTAAAGAGAAATTTGACTCTCTCATCTCTATCACCAAGGGAGGTATCCATCACCGACCATCATTGGTGATCACTTGCAACATTCAATAGGTATTTTTTGTCGTTTCCTTATATTCTATATTTCCTTTTTTTAGGGAAATTTCAAGAATAGTACACTAAACTTTGGGGTTGTGTCAAGTCAGTTCTGAACTTTAAAACACGTGTCTGTTGTACTTTGAACTTCCAAATTGTGTTAATAGGTCTCTACCGTTAGCTAACCATCAATAATTAAATGAAATGACTAAAATACTCATCATATTTTGAAGAAGAAACCGAGACTTTCTTTTTTTTTGGAAAAGTGGAATTGCCCTTGCCTAAAAACCCTTTATGCATTGGACGCCAGCACTATTCACTCAAAACCTTGGTTTCATTTAGAGCTTATAGTGGTCGTCGTCGGTGTAATTACTAGGGAAAACACCGTCAAAGACCTCTTAGTGGTCCTTTGAAGTCATCGTTGATGCTTCATTCTCTCTGATGTATGGTAAAGGTTATGTCTACTATGATTGTTAAATGGGGAAGACAATAATCTCAGTCCTTTACAGTCGCTAAAAAGATAATAAACCCTTGTCGCCATTGTCGAAAAGAAAGGTAAAAAATCACATTTTTAATCATATTTTTGGCAAAATTCTTGATAGGTAC